ATTAAGTATGGTTATAGCTGTAGGTTTTCCTTAGGGTTTATTTTCAGGTTGAGAAAGTTCCCTTTTATTGTAGTTTACTGAGTGTCTTTATCTTGAATGGGTGTTGAATTTCATCCTATGCTTTTTCTATACTTTTGATATTTTTACAAACCCTGACATAAAAGAATGGGTCCTTTGTCCTCTAGGGAAAGAATTCACCAGAGAGCTTTAGGCATAGTTGAAGTAGGCAAAACTTTATTAGAGAGACTCATACATGAGGGAGACAGTGCTGTAGAGGGGAATATAGCCTGTCTCCTCGAAGGGAGTTAGGAGGGAGGAGGAGAGCAGTGTCATAGCTTGTTCTGGATTGGGCTATGCCTGGGCATGGGTTGACAGGTTACATTCCAACCTTGCACACATGTTCTTGGCCTTCTCCCTTCAGGAAATTGTGACATAATCATTAGTTAGTATCTAATGCTTTTTGTCTATCATGGTGCCTCATGGTCATTGTGGTGGGCCAAATTGGACAAGACTTGACAGTCCATGATTTAGTCCACCTGTTCAAACAGGCCTTGGGGCAACTCATCCTACTGGTTTACTTTTTTTTTTTTTTTTTGTTAACCTAGATTGTTTTAATATGATCATGTGGCTTTTAACCCTAATTCTTATTAATATGGTATATTATATTATTTTATTTTCAGATCTTTAACTTTATATTCCTGGGGTAATTCCCACTTGATCTTGATATAAAACATCTCTATATGTTGTTGGATTCTACTTGCTAACATTTTATTGAGGATTTAAAAAAATCTGTATTCATAAGTCATATTTATATCCACAGTCTTACAAGCAATCTTGGGAAATGACAGTTGGGGCTCCAATACTCAAATTTGTGAGTATTCTCAGCCTACAGTGTCTAGGTATAGTGCCACTCATGCCTCAGGGGAATGGTAGAGGAGGGAATTCCCAGTATCTTGTCTGCACTTGCCAAGAATTTAGTCTAAGCAAATCAGAGATGTGGAGATGAGAAGTTCTAGTGGCCTGCCCTTCTATTGATATACCTACTAATAAGATATGTGGATTTTCCATACCAAGTAATTCTTAAATTCTCTTCAACTATAAATCCTATAATTTAATTCAACTCTGACACTGAATTCTTAGAGTTAGTGCAGACCCTATAGGTTAAGGACTCATTCTCACAAGGTTTATGCCCACGTCAGATGCCAGTCACAACTAGTCTCCAGACTACTTGTACTTCCATGTGATTTGACTAAAAATCAAGGGTTCCCTTAGGACACCCCCCCCAATTTTGATAATTTGATAAATAGTTCACAGAAGTCAGGGCAATACTATACCTCTAGTAGTATATTAATAAAGGATATAAGTGAACAACCAGATGAACAGGTCCATAAGGTGAACAGGTCCAGAGCACAAGAGCTTTTGTCTCTGTGGAATTGGGGTGTGAGACCGTCTGGCGCATGGATGTGTTCACCAGCCTGGAAACTCATCAGTATTTTGTATAAGAGTTTTTATCGAGCTCAGTCTCTAGCATTCTTTTCCCCTATTGCTAGGGACCAATGGGTAGGGTTGAAAGTCCAACACTTAAATCTCCAACCCCATCCTGAGCCTATCTGAGAGGCACATCCTAAGCCAATTCATTATCATTTCTTATACTCTGATGGATATAAAGGACTTACTATGAATAAAGAACTTTAAACACTCTGGAAGTGCCAAAGGCTTTAGGAGCTGTGAACCAGGACACAGACCCAATATATTTCTTTTTATGCCACAGTCCAACTTAAGAGTGTGAACTGGGTAAAGTAGGAGTCCTCTCTTCTTGGCAATATCCATCTGTGTAGACTGAGGAGTGGAGCTTTTGTCAAAATGATGATGTTGAAGTACACATTTAATGGAGTTTCTTGAATAAATGTTTCTTCATTTGTTGCATGACCTTAGGATAATTTCTAAAGTTAAAATTTTTGTGAATAGTAATTTTCAGCATTTATGCTGAAGAGCTTTGAAGAGTAGTTTCACAGATCTCACATGTTGTCATCCTTGAAGTGGAAATTCTGTGAAGTCCCACCTTTGTTTCTGATGAGAGTGTATGTTAGCACATGACCAAGGAGTATCTTGGAACCCTCAAATTTGTGAGCTCCAAGGGGGTCTGGCCATCCATGCACACAAAGACAAAGCAGACTCTTAGAGTGAAAGAACTTTCATAGAATTAGTTTGCATAGAAGAAAGAAAAGAAGAAGAAAGACTATTCCAAAGAAAAGACCCAAAGTTACTCATCTCCTCATGTGTAAATGCCCAGCCAAACAGGGTTGACCCAAGGTGAGGTCGCTGATGCCCAAAAGCTTGCCACAAGTCTAAACAGCCTTCTGGTGGGGAATCATTGGAAGGTTGCGAAAGGGGTCAGGCAAATCTGAGATGAAAGAAGCAAATTCAAAGTATAAATCAATATAATGGCCACCATTGTCAGTTTCTTCTCCATGTGTCTCCTTCCTAACAGTTCCAGGGTGCACGTTCAACCGCAGGAACTAGATAGAGCTCATTCCTTTTTCCCTTCCCAGTGCCCACCCCTTCCCTGTTACGTGGTTTCACCTGGCTGCTTAGCACCACCCTTCATTGAGTAGGTCAGGGGACGTAACACCTTCCCTTTTTATGGAGACATCTCTGTAACATCTTATTAATACATTTAAGCTAGATTTTCCCTTCCAAAGTGTGATTTTCTTTCAGTCAACACATTCATTTATATATTGATTCCTTATAATATTATGTATTTTCCCCATAATTTGGCAAGTGATGGTGTTTGTTCTATCACCTAGGTTCCTTTACAGGCAATTCTTATGACCAAAGAGACTATGTCTCTTTTTCATGCTTGCAAACTAATGTATTTGGGGAGCACCCAGTCTAGGGGCCTTATCTTATCCCCAGTTCATCGTAGGCTCAACTACTGTATTTTAGCCTCTTTTAATAAGCTGTTGCATGTTGTTTTATTAGGTTTGGGATCTGTTAACTTCCATGAAGCTGGAAGGTCTCACTTAATGACTCAAGCCAAATGCTTATTATCACAATATGAATTTATTGGGAGGTAGGGAATTCACATTATAATTTCATAACCACACAAATTCAATTGGCAGCAAATATAAAAAAGGAAAGGTAACCATCCTCTTATCAAGAATTGGGAGAGTGGTAACACAAAGTAGGCAGTATGTGATCCAGAGAATTCCTGGCATTTGTTAATCTGCAGGGAGGGGAGCACTACTTAGAACAGGAGTCCCATAGGGCACTCACCAAACCTGGCTAAGGCTTCAGGACTATGGCCGTGTTGTACATAAGCATCTCAAAATACCTTAAATTTTGTGCCTGATTTAGTCCTTTTTTTTTTTTTTTAAAGATTTATTTATTTATGCATACAAGAACTGGGATACAGGCCAGAGGTGCGAGGAGGGGGTGAGAGGATTCAACAGAGAAAGAGTCAGGAGCAGAACAAGCAGATTGACTGAAATACACTGCTGAGGGGAGCAGCAGGTGAGACAGGAGAGGTCTGCTACGCCATGTGGGTCACCTCTCTGGCTGGGGCTCGAACTCATGCTGCAGTGGCTCCTGGCTGGGGATCAAACTCATGCTGCAGTGACTGTGGACAACTCCATAGGTTGCGTTTCAATCCCTTGCGCCACTAGGGAGGCCCTAAATTTATACCTTTTCTCAGAGGAATATGATTAGGTCCATGTGTCAATTTTAATTTAGTCAGGATCTCTCAGCATACACAGGTTTTTATCCTTGCCTTTCATAAGTCTGTTCACCAATATCTTTATAAACATGTGGTAGTGTTTTTAACTGATAATTTAAGTCATACTAACTTAATTGTCCCCAACTTTAGATTGGTCAGGGTGATTATAATATCAATACATGTAATACTAGTTCTGAGAACTATCTAGATTGCTGGTGGTCTCAAATTTTCTTGCTTACACATAAGTGCTATTCAAGATAATATCCCTTACCTTAATCTAATTTGCTCTTTTGGTCTATTGATTCTCTCATTTTACTTCTTATAAAGGTAAAGATTGCTTAATTATTTAAAATCAAGTAGAATGTGGAGGGTAGGCTCAACTGGGAAGGTCCTGAGACATGACTGAAATCTTATTCTGTGAAAAGTAGAAGACAGATTTATTTTGTCAGCTCTGCTTTAAATATCTAAATATAAAGATGGTGGCATTCTGAGGATCTCTGAGAAAGAGTTGCTTCAGTGAAATTTCAGTCTCTGTATGGTGGGCAAATGCTGACTTTGGCTCTATCTTACCGAGAATTTCTTCCTACCTGATTAGATAGCCCCTTGGGGATATGCATTTTAGGAGCCCAAACTAGGAATTGCATTTTTTTTTTCTCTGAAATAAACCTTTCTTTTAAAACAGGTTGTTTTTGGCCCTGCGGCTGCCCTGCAGCGCCGGTTCGATCCCCGGCTGCTCCCCGGCCACCAGAGGAGGGTCCCACATGGCGCGCAGACCTCTCCTGCCGCCCGCTGCTCCCCTCAGCAGTGTACTTCGGTCCTTCTGCCTGCTCTGCACCCTGCTCTGGCTCTGGTGTATTCTCTCACCCTCCCGCGCTTCTGACTGTACCCAGTGCATGTATAAACAAAAAAACAAACAAAACAAAAAATAAAAAAAAAAAAAAAACAAAACAGGTTGTTTTTGATTTTCAGATGCTTGTACAAACTAAACTGCCTTACACATCAAATTAGGAGATGAATTGTGTTTATGACTAGAAGTGTAGCAATAGGCTAAACATCTCTGTGGTGTTGCCTTTCTCAAGCTGTTAGATTACCCAAATATTTTATGAAAATCCAAGAAAATCATGGCTTTATTTCTATATTTTGATATCAACCATTATACAAATTAAAATGTTGTGGGTATTTTCAATGTTGTTTTAATTTTTCACTGTCTGTATTTGGTAAGATAGAATGGTCTTTTTCCAGATTTTTAAAAAATTAGATGTAAATGTCTTTTTTTTTTTTTAAGACTAAACTTCAATGGCTCTGTGAGGAACTGAAAGAGAGAGAAAACAGAGAGAAAAGTCTACGGCATCAGCTGATGCTATACAGGCAGCAACTCAGGAATATGACCGAACACAAGGAATCTGAGCTCCAGTGTCTCTTTGAACAGATAGAAAGACAGGAGCAGCTTCTGGAAGAAATACATCGGGAGAAGAGAGGTGTGGTAGTTGCTCTTATTTTTTTCTTCTTTTCTTTTCCTGGAATCCTATTTCTCAAGCCTCCATTCCAGATTATTTCCATATCCATCCCCTTTCTTTGTCTCTTTTTCCTTATCTTTCTTCATATCTGGGTGCAGAAGAGAAACCTATTCCAAACCTGGCACTTTTTCCTTGTTACTGTATCTCTCTTTCACTTGTATCTTCTGCACATTAAGTATTTTTTTGGTAAGACATGTTGGTTCACCTCTTATAAAATGCAATAGTTTTATTTCAGTAAAATATCAATTCATTTATTCATAGTTCAGATACTTGTTTTGTGCATATTTTATTCTAGGCACTAGTCTAGGCACTGAGGATACATCAAAGAGTAAAGCAGAAAAAAGAATCTTGCTCTTGTTTGATTGCCATTATATTGACTGAGATGAAAGAAAAAATATTTAATAAATAGGTAGGGAGAACTATGGGGACTACAATGATGTAAGAAAACAATTTAATTAACAAAAATGGAAAGCAATGAGAGTAAAAAATAAGTAGGTGAATTATGTATAAGGTTATAAGCACAATGGTGGAAGCAGTAGAATAAAGGCAGGAGGGTTTGAGGGAGCCGAGGACAGGGTTTAATGATGTTTAATATGTAGACAATACTTCAACATTAGAAAAGAGACTTGGCAAGTGTCTTTTCTGTTTAGTTGTACTATTATTGCATCAGGATGTGATGAAGAAAAGCAGCAATTATGTGGAGGGATCTTATGTGGGTCTTGGTTTGTGTTGACCTTTTCTTTATTGGTACTTTAAGAACCACCAAGAGGCTTAATACGTTATCCCATTAAGAAAAACTAAACATTGATATATTTGATAATCGTATTTAAAGTAAATTTTTTGTTTTTTTCATTTTAGTGATGAGGATTATTCCTTCCACCAGAAATGGTTTAATATTGTGCTGCAGTTGTTCTAGTTTATTTTGACGCCAATGCCCATTTCCTCTAGAGTTAGGGTTTTTTTTTTTTTTTTAATAGAGGCATGTTTTATTTATTTGTTTGTTTGTTTGTTTGTTTACACATGCACTGGGTACAGTCAGAAGCGCGGGAGGGTGAGAGAATTCACCAGAGGCAGAGCGGGGAGCAGAGCAGGCAGAAGGACGGAAGTACACTGCTGAGGGGAGCAGCGGGCGGCAGGAGAGGTCTGCGCACCATGTGGGACCCACCTCTGGTGGCCAGGGAGCAGCTGGGGATCGAACCGGCGCCGCAGAGGCTGCAGGCAGCTTCGCAACCCAGCGCTCAACCGCTGTGCCACCGGGGAGGCCCTCCTCTAGAGTTAGTTTTAATAATATATGCCTTTTATGGTATTTGTCCATTTTACCTAAGTTGTCAAATTCATTGGCATAAAAGTTTTCATAATATTCTTTTCTAGTCTTCTAATCTCTAAAATCAATATTAATGCCTCTGTTATATTCATAATGGTAATTTATTTTTGCTTTTGTTTTTCTAAGTCTTGTTGAAGGTTTTGTTAATTTTATTAATGTTTACAAAGAACTAACTTTGTTTTTTTTTTCTGTTTGTCTCTTTGTACTTTAGTACTTTATTGATCTATTTTTATATTCTTTTTACTACCTATATATAGCTTTTGCTCATTTTCTGACTTCTTAAGTTGGAAGCATTATTTTAATGTCTTTTCTAAATATAGGCACATAGAATTATAAATTTCTATCTTAGCAATATTTGATTGTATTACATAACTATGATGTAGTTTCAGTATAATTTGTTTGAATTAGAAAATATTTCCTTTGTGTTTTCTTTTTCAATCCATGGATTTTTTTAAACCAGTATATCATTTAATATCCGATTATGTGTGTAGTTTTTGTAGATACTGTATTATCATTGATCTCTAATCTCTAGCAGGGTTTCTAATAAGACCCTGTGGTAATAGAATATACTCTACATTATTCTGATATTTTGAAATTATTGAGACAGGTTTTTTTTGTCTATTTTGGTGAATTTTTCTTGTGCACTTGAAAATGTTTTGCATTTATTGCAAAACTTGTTATAAACGTTACTTATATCGAGTTGGTTCACAATATTCTATGGGCCTAGTGATTTTTAGATCCCTTCTGATTTTTTTTTGTCAACTTTTTTTTTTTTAAAAGCTTTATTAGATAATTTATGCATAAAAGAAACGGGTGTAGGCTAGAGGTGCAGGGGTGGGCTAGGGTGATAGGATTCACCAGAGACAGAGTGGGGAGCAGAACAGGTGGATCTACTGAAACACACTGCTGAGGGCAGCAGCGGGCAAGACAGGAGAGGTCCGCTACCTGGCCCACAGCGGAACTCATGCTGCAGTAGCTGGGGATAGCTCGAAAATGCTGAGAGCTGAGACTTGACCCCTGCACCACCAGGGAGGCCCTTTTTTGGTCAACTTCTATCCACAGCTGATAGAGGATTGTTGCAATATCCAATTATCACTTCAGCTTTCTCTGTTTTGTTCATTATTTTTGCTTCACATAGTTTGAAACTCTACTTTTAGGTCCTATCTTAATATTGATTATGGAAATACATCTACTTAATAATCTCTGTAAACGCAAAAGAGGGATAAAAATAGAATGTTGGTGGTGGCAACAAATGCGAAAGATACTGTGGAGGATTTAATGCAATATTGAACAGCAGTGTAGTCTAGAAAGTGAGAGACAATTCACACAAAGTTCTAAAGTCTCACTGGTTTTGCCATTATGAGAAATAGGAATCATGATGTATGGCTGATGTGATAGGAAAGTAAGAGGGTTCCCATTTTTAACTTGTTCCTTAATATCATAAATGAAAAAAACCCCATGAAGACTGAAACTTTTGTGATAGCACAGATATGGTAATTTCTTCTTATTAGATGCTGTCTGGTTACTCAGAAATAATGAAGGCTTTGTACAATTAATGAACAAGCAAATGCAATTATTATTAGAGACAAAAGTATGTTTATTAGTAGGCAAGATACAATAGATGTGTTGTTATAAATGTGAGCAACATGTTCTTGATAAAGAGGGTAGTATTGATTACTTCTTTTGAAGTCCATGTGGTCCAGAGGTTTTTGCAGGATTTACCATTTAATTTAGATCTTGAAGGATCTCCCTGGTGGTGCAGCGGTTAGTCTCAGTGGGGTCAAGATATTGCCAGCCACTGAGGCATGGCATGAGTTTCATCTGTGGCCAGGGAGCTAACCCATATGGTGTAGCAGACCTCTCCTGTCTCACCTGCTGCTCCCCTCAGCAGTATATTTCAGTGAATCCACCTGTTCTGTTTCTCACTCTGTCTCTGGTGAATCCTGTCACACCTCATACCTCTGGCCTACACCCCAGTTCCTATATGCATAAATAAATACATAAATATTTAAAAAATTTAGAATTTGAAGAATGCAGCAATATTTCCATAAAGAAGAGAAAATGAAGAGAGTTTCTCTACAGGATTGGTTTGCATAGTGGTTTCTTCTCATCTTTTGTCTTCATTGGTACATATGGAAATGGTGATGGTTAAATTTAGATATTTCTAAAGTATCAGAGTTGACTGTTGTAGAAATTTATAGTTGATTCCCTTTACCATCTTAGAAAACTTATGATAAGTAGAATAACGTTAATATACAAGTGAAACATAAAAGAGAAACTTAATATTTGCTGTAATTCATCTCATTTTCTGGCACTAATGGTTTTAGTTTGATTTAACTCTAACTGATAGGTGCCAGGCTAATCAAGGCCCTTGTGCAAAGATTTTATCAGTGAGAGCTTCCAGATTTGTAGATCTGAGTAGTTTTACTGCCTGTGCTACCGTGGTCTGTTTGTACAGGAGAGTTCCAAGAGAGAAAGTCTATTTTGGAGTTAATGTCATAGACCTCTTAGAACTCTAGTAATTATTGACTAAGAAATTCTTCATGATTATGAATGGCAACAGGAATGATATTAAAGACATGTAAACTACAGTTAGGAGGATTTAGATACATTATTTTAACTTGTATAAGTAGTTATTTTAATAATTCATTAGTAAATCAACTACTGTCTGTCTTCTGAAGATTCTGATAACCCAGTGTTCCTGTTTGTGCCAGTATTCCTCTGTAAGAATACTTTGAATCTATGAGGTTTACTACAAAAAAAATGTGGAAATTGGAAAGATTCCTGTTTTCAAGGCTTTTCAGAAGGAAGGGCATCTGTATAGTATGGTTTAATTGAAGTCTTGCTACATGAAACACTTATGATTGTAAATAAATAGAGCAGACAGTTTTCTTACCTTATTTCCCCTGAAACTGAAATTATGAACTCTTATTTAAATAAGAATCCCATCTTGCTTTCCAGGTATTCTTGTGTCTGCGACTATTTAATATATATGATTTTTCTTCCTGGAGAAATTAGAAATTGACATGGCCTCTGAAATTCCTTTTCTATAAAGATGAAATTTGATCTTACCCAATTTCTATTTATACTCTTTTGTTCACCAATTCTGTATTATGATAATACTGTGTTATATATCACTTAGTGGAAAGTTAGATGTAAGATTGAAATGGGCCATTCTCAAGACCACTTTGTTGGAGGTTACTTTTCTGAATAAAAGAGAAAATATTAATAGGATGTGGAAGAAGGAAAGTAGTTTTCCAGCTACTTTAGAAACTAATATTCTTGCAGCAGAGTACTAATTTCTTAGGTTGGATGTTTTTAATTTTAGTTCTCACCTGTGTCTTAGCCAAGCAATAGGTACTGGTGAAATGATACATCATCACTCTACATTATCTCAGTTCAACACATTTTTATTTCAAGATTTTTTTATTTTTGCATAGAAGAACTGGTATGTAGGCCAGAGGTATGGAGGGTGGAAGGTGTAAGAGCATTCACCAGAGACAGAGTGGGGAGTATATCAGGTGGATCTATTGAAATACACTGCTAAGGGGAGTAGTGGGCAAGACGGGAGAGCTCTGCTGCACCATGTAGGTTAACTCCCTGGACTGGGATGGAATTCGGGCTGCCACGAGTTAAT